AAAACAAAGCACTGCCGCAATTGAAATATCAGAAATGTAAATTCTTTTACCCGCACACAAAGTGCATGCGATTACGTTTGATTGTTTTGTTTGATTTGCGTGGTGGGTGCAATGTGCAATGGGGGAAAAGTAGTGCAAGTCGTTAACTTGCTATCAAAGTGGCATATTTAAATGAAATATTGCCATCAATGCGCATGCGCATGTGAATATCATTAGTCTGAATTTGTTTGTTGAACTCAAAGGGTTTATGTTGAAGTAAGTCCTGAGTGGCTTTTTTAAGTGTGTATATTCATTGGGCTTTAAGCGTGAAAAACTGTTGGCTTAGGTATGCAAAAGGTGGGGTTAGGTGAGGTTATAGTGGTTAGTCCAAGCAAGAGGACGCACTTGGGTAAATAAGAATTTGTCCTTTGTGATACCACAAAACTGAACGGATGCCCTTAATTTAAACGAAAAATTGCGCGAGCTGATTATATAATAACAATTGCGCTTAATTTAATTGATTCAGTGTTCCTCGGCGTTAGTGAGGAAGTACGAACCAAACTCTTGTCATCTGAGCTGCACGAACGCTGGAAAGTCTAATAGAAAGTGTTGACATAATTCCATTTCATCGATATCTTGACAACTGATGGAAATGAATGGTGAATACCAGGCACCCAATGACCTTCGAGAACACCCACCAGTAGCGAATGCTGCAGCTTTGCCAACATAGAAGCTCCTTTGATCGCCCCGCTCCAACCCATGCCAGAAAAAGCTTGCAATGGCTCATGTCTTAGTTTAAGCGCAACGCTCGCTGAGCTTACATGATGCCCAAATCTCCAGCAGTGAACCGTAGGACAACAAAGGCGTCAACAGTTGTTCCATATCCGATGATAATGTTTTATGGGTGCCTGTCTTTGCTAGGCCGTCAGCACCAAAATGAGCCTTATAAGGAAGTAATTTAATACATTTGATATAGAGGTCATACATTGCTTTGCCGATTTCGAGCGCAGGGCCCTGATGGCCGGTGGCATTGCGTTCTTCAGCAGTGAGTCTACTGTTTCCCTGATTGCAGATATTTATTAGTCTGAAACCCTCGACATAATTTTTATGAAGAGCTCCAGGCAAATTTTACTGCTCCTCCAAAGAGAACTGTAGGAATACCGCCAGGCTAAGCAAAGTCTGTCTAAGGAATACTCCAACCACAGCCAGATTTAGAGAGAGGACGGTACATGGACTTTCTTGGCTGC